TTGACCATGAGCCAACATACCAATAAGACTATAAGTATCCAGGGGATGGAATGAGATATTTCTTGATGTTTCATTGCTCTGTTTATCAGTGACAATAAAACTCTAACATCTTGTTTCCTATCTCTTTCTGTTGCAGATTTACATGATAAAATGTATACACTTTATCGGTCAGTCACAGATCACAGTGAACTCGAGTTGATTTGTGAAGTTGATTCTGTGTTAATTGAAACCAAATGGACCTGGTCTTCACCTTTAAAAACTCAAGATAAAGAAATAGCTTCCAGTTACAAATCGAAGCCTGTCAACATAAACAACACCTGCTTTGGGAGTCGACTGGTCCGCCCAGTGACCAGTTTCACTGACAGGTTTTTCAGTATGCGGATTGTGCCTGTCCAGTTTGAAGATGCTGGAGTTTACAGATGCTCTCAGGGATCAGATAAACATTTGACCATTAACCTGGTCACAGTTAAAGGTAGGGGACAGAATTTTGCTGCTGTTTTCAACAATCAAGTCTTTGTTTAAAATCTAAATGATTTTCTTATTTGCACTGTCACAGCGGAACTCTCTGATGAAGAGACTGAGGGAGATTCCGTTCCCCTGACCTGCTCTGTCTCTCATGTCACTGAATCAATGAGACTTGTTTGGATCAATAGTGATGGTAAAATTGTTGCAGAGAAAACATTCAAGGAACAGAAGCAGAAAGAGGATAATTTACAGCTGATTATTCAGAAATTTGATAGAGACAGAATGAACTGGACATGTATTTTGTTTCATCAAAACACCCCCAAAGTTTTAATTCCTTATTATCTGAAGTTTACCAGTAAGTGTTTCAGTTTTTATTCTGTACAATGTTATAGTTACATTTTTAAAGTGATAATCTATTACTTTTCATGTTTTCTTACATTCCATATTACTGAGAGTTCATAACACAGCTCTGCAAATAAAAACCATGCTAAGTGATGGAGTGAAGCTGAGAATGAATATTTGGTGCCCATTACATTTCTATAAGGTAACTATTAAATATTAAATCCCCACTGCCCATGTTGATATATCTTGCTTGCAGTGGACTGGAACACGGTAGACTTCATTACAGTCCATTATACTCTGTTGGATAACGATCAAAAACATGACAGTTTTCTGAAACAAGAATAGAAATTGGTGGAAAAGCTCAGCAGGTCTGCCAGCATCTGTGGAGAGAAATCAGATTTAATGTTTCTGTTCGAGTGATCTTTCCTCAGAACAATGGACATTGAGATGCCCATCCCAAACTGGTACTGATTGCCAGTTGATATCTTCAAAGCATTTAATGGCTATGGGGCAGCTGTCAGAGTGGGAGGGCTTCTGTTATTGATGTAGACATTGGGATAGGACGACTTATAAAACTTTTCACCTGTATTTTTTCACGTGACAATAAATTTCTCTTCTATTCTACAGGAGAGTTACTTGAATACTTTTTCCATGCTACAAATCTGTCCCTTTTTTCTTTTGCTCTCCCACCTTTTGCCATATTAAGACAATTTGCTACATCCCTGCAGGTCTCGACTGAAAGTCCCCTTCAACTTGTTACAATGTGATGGAGGTGCATGGAGTGAAATGTTCCTGCTTTATCCCTTCAACTTCCTGGGGTAATGTTCCTCTAGAGTCGTCCCATCCCTTTCATAAAGATTAACCAATATCATTATGGTTGGTCCCTGCCAAGGTTGCTAATTTGTTATGATTTCAGATGGGACACTCCATAAATAGTTATGCTCCAAAGTGAGGAAGAGTAACTGGCTCCCTTTTGTAACTCAACCACTTTCTCAATTAGTCAGAACAATAATAATTTGAAAAGGAACCCCTCCCTCTTGCATACCTTTTCCAAATACTTGGAAAGTTTGAAAAGGAGCCAAATTCACCGGTCTTTCTTGAGATAATGAAACAGTGAGTTTATTTACTACTGAATGTGAGAAAAGATAACAAAATATGACACACACACAAATTAGAAACATGAATAAAGAAGTAACAGTTTAAGGAATATATGAATTAATCTCTACATTCCATGAAGAGAGGAACATTACAGCTATTAAGTTGGATGTTATCGGTAAGTGTGATATTGACAGTTAAACTGTTGATTTCAGGTTTCTTGGATGTGCAGTTAACTGAGGGGCTTTTGTCCCATTTCCTTTTTGATGATGATATCATTGGTTTGCCTGGCTTCCAGCACTCAGAGCAAGTTGAGCTTTTCTTTACCTGTAGCGAGGGGTGTCGAATGGTTGTCCTCAAGTTGTGAGCTTTATTGCACATAATTCCGCACTAGCACATCAGCTCCCTAACACACACAGAACAGGTTGATTTTAATCACTTTTTTGTATGTTTTTGAAAGGGTAAAACATAAACACATCTGCAGTTTGGTATATAATCCACAGGGAATAGTTTTCTTCTGTGAGTGGTTTATAAAAACCTGCCTGGTCCATGAATGTCCTGTAGGAAAGAAAATCTGCTATCTTTACCTGGTCTGGCCGACATGTGACTCCAGACCCATATTAATGTGGTTTGCTCTTAACTGCCCTCTGGGCAATTAGGGATAAACAACAAATAATGGCCGAGCCAGTGATGATGCCATTCCATGAATGAGCAAAAATTTGATGGTACCTTCAGGTATGCCATTCCATGCTTCCCATCAGGGCATTCCAGACAATCACTGATTTTACAACAGCAGCCACATTTTGGCTAAAAATTAAAGTCCTTGATATCAAGACCCCAAGGATCTAGAATTCCCTACATCTGGCCCTGATTCAAAAAGGGGAATTCTGGCTGCTTGGGATCTGGATGACAGGGACTTTCCTGATATTAGCTATTGGAAGGTAATAATGGATCAGATGCTTTACAAATGTTAATTTAAGACTTGCCTAATTGATAAAAACAGAATAGCCTATTCCAACCAGGATACTGGTACTTATGAGCGATCCTGGCCACTTGTTTGTAAGACACACATTGATCTTGTAGCAGTGATGATTTGAACTCTCTCAGCTGCCACTATTTTTTCTCATGCAATCAGCAGATGCATAGCACTAGGGTCTGCTGGATACTCGGGGAGATTACTGTGTATCCTCTCTCAAAAAAAATGTGAGATTAGAAATTCAATATGTCCATTAGTAATCTGGAATTATGATCCATTTTTCTGACAATATTTGTCTTGTGATATATCATGGTCATAAACATAAACCCTGGCTTTCTGCTATAATAGCATCATGGCGCTAATACTGAGTCAACATTATCAGGGATTATAGGTTCCAGTCAGTGTTATTGTCAGGTAGATACTGTGCAAGTTTTTGATTTATCCAAATTCATGTTTAAAAAATTTCTCTTTTGTTTTCTCCCATGTCAGGCTGTATGCTGACCCTGTGATGATTTAACTGAACAATAGTGAACTTTTAGATTTTTATTTACTTTTATTTCAATCCACTTTCCACTATCAGCCAGTTTTATCTACCTTGTCATTAGGGGAGCTGACTTTGTTTTCTTCTAGTTTAAATAGTAATCCATGAAATTTGTTGTTCTTCTTTTGACAGAACCTTATACTGTTCAACCTACTGATGCCATTGTATTTGGGAGTCTGGCTCTTCTCATCATTATCCTGGTAATAATACTGACCCTGAGAAGGTGCAGGAGAGCAGGTAAACAAGGTAAGTTCCTGCATACAATTGCTGGACTCGTATTCTTAAGGGAATGTGGCACATTTTCTAAACCTTAGGATTGACAATTATGTTTTGTGTCTAGGACGTAATCCATTGGGTTTAATTGTAGCAGGTTCCATTCCACAGTCAACCCTGGGCTCAGTGACCTGTGTTTGAGACCTATGTTGGCTCTAAGTCAACCAACACCTTGATTTTAAAATTCTCACCCATGTGGTTAAATCATTCTGTGGTCCTGCCCTCCCTGTCTCTTTAATCTCCTCAAATCACACATTCCTTTGAGATGTCTATGACATTCTATTTCTGGACTCTGTACGTTCCCAATTATTGAATGACCCACATTATCTTTGGGACGGAGTTCTAGGATGTTCACCAAGCGACCGTGAGAAAACGGCAATGTATTTCCAAGTCAGGATGGTGAGTGGCTTAGAGGGGAATTTCTGGCTGGTGGTGGTCCCATGTATCTGTTGCCTTGTCCTTCTCAGTGGAAGTGGTTGTGGGTTTGGAAAGCACTGTCTGGGGACCTTTGGTGAATTTCTGCAGTGCATCTTGTACATAGTACACACTGCTGCTACCGAGTGTTGGTGGTGGAGGGAGTGGATGTTTGTGGATGTGGTGCCAATCAAGCGGGCTGCTTTGCTCTGGACAGTGTAAAGCTTCTTGAGTGTTGTTGGAGCTACACTCTTCCAGGTAAGTGAATCTGAAGAAGGGTCTAGGCTCGAAATGTCAGCCTCCCTGCTCCTCTGATGCTGCTTGGCCTGCTGTGTTCATCCAGTTCTATACCTTGTTATCTCAGGTAAGTGAAGATCATTCCTTGCAGATGGCGGACAGGCTTTGGGGAGTCAGGAGGTGACTGCTTGCCATAGTATTCTTATGCTCTGACCTACTCTTGCAGCCGTTGTGTTCATGTAGCAAGTCCAGTTGAGTTCCTGGTCAATGGTAATCCTCCAGGATGTTGATAGTTGGGGATTCAGTGATGGTAGCACGATTAAATGTCAAAAGGCAGTGATTGGATTGTCTCTTATTGGTTATGGTCATTGCCTGGTATTTATGTAGTACAAATGTTACTTACCACCTGTCCAGATCTTGTTGCATTTAAACACAGACTGCTTCAGTATCCAAGGAATTGTGAATGGTGTTGAACTTTGTGCAATCATCAGCAAATATCCCCACTTCTGACTTTATGATGGAGGGAAGGCCATTGATGTAGCAGCTAAAGATGTTTGGGCCTAGGACGCTACCCTGAGGAGCTCCTGTAAAGACGTCCTGGGGCTGAGATGAGTGACCTCCAACAACCACAACCATTTTCCTATGGGCCATATATGACTCCAAGTGAAGAGTTTATTTCCTCATACCCATTCATTTCAGTTCGGCTTGGGGTCTTTGATGCCACGCTTGGTTGAATGCAACCTTGATGTCAAGGGCTGTCACTCTCACCTCATCACAGGAATTCAGCTCTTTTGTTCATGTTTGAACCAAGGCTGCAATGAGGTCAGGAACTGAGTGGCTCTGGCAGAACCGAAACTGGGAATCACTGAGCAGGTTATTGCTGAGCAGGTGCTGCTTCCATCACTTTACTGATTATCAAGGGTAGACTAATGTGGTGATAATTGATCAGGTTGGATTTGTGCTGTTTTTTGTGTACAGGACATACCTGGGCAATTTTCCAATTATTGGGTTGATGCCAGTGTCGTAACTGTACTGGAAGAGCTTGGTTAGGGGAACAGCACATTCTGGAGCACAAGTCTTCAGTAATATTGCCAGAATGTTGTCAGGACCCACAGCCTTTGTAATATCCTGAGCCTTCAACCGTTTCTTGATATTCTGTGGAGTCTTTACCCTGGTTAAGTCAGGGCTTTACGCCTCTGCCAACTGAGGCCTTTAAATAGGCCTCATCCCACCATCAGTAGCTTTCAAATGAAGGATCGACCATGGAGGAAACCCAAAAATCCCCCAAGGAATGTAAGATCTGTTGTTGGAAAGGTATTGAATTTTTGATCACAGGACCCAGTATTCATTCATCCACATGCTCTATTGACAAACCTCCTCCCCTACAAATCCTGACCTGTGGGAGCTCATCCCTCCGTCCCTCATCTATCTCCTCTCTCCCTCAGGCAGTGGGCAGGTAGGTGCATTAGTGAGCCCCCCACCCCACCCCGTAGCATTGACAAGTTATCCATGGCTGTCAATAACTGATTGCTTGGCAGCATTTGTTCTGGAATGAGATTTCTGTCTCTTTGGTCCTTGATTCCAGGGAAGGCCTGCCAGCTGCCCAGTTATATGCCTGATTGGCCTGATTCATTGGGCATTCCCAAAATTATGGGATGTCTTGGCTCTCCTCAACTATCCAACTAGTTGGCGAGACCCCTACATTAAAATGTTGGCCAATACCTCCCACTGTGGCTCAAGATAATATTCCTTCAAAGCATCTATAGTGATATAGGTTATTATTCTTTCTATTGTAGGATCATATAAATGTATCTCTTATTGATTCATGGAGTGAGGGCATCTTTTGCATCCCAATGTGGTTGAAGTGATGGTGCTGAGCTGTCATCTTCAACTGTTTCATTCCATTTGGGGTAACTACCACATTGCTTAGATTCAAGAAGTGACCTCTTAGATTGGAGGATAGAAAACATTAACTGTCTTTTTCAAGAAAGGAGAGAGTGAGAAATCAGTGAACTACAAGGCCGATAGCCTAACATCAGTCATTGGGAAAATGCTGGAATCAATTATTTACACATTCTTAATACACTTTGAAAAGAATGCAGGTCCAGCAAGCAATGAGGAAGGCAAGAACATGTTGATCTTTATTCCAAAGGAATTGGAGGACAGAAATAAAGAAGTCTTGCTAAAATTTTATAGTTTTGGTGAGAGCACACCTGGAATATTGCATGCAGTTTTCAAATCTCATGTTTTATGAAAGGACATTCTGAAGAAGAGTTATATGCATCTGTAGCTCTTGTTTATCTAGCTGATAGAAATTCCATATTTGATAAGCTGCTGTCAATGAAATCTTTGCAATCTGCTACAGTGTGTCTTGCAGATATTACAGACTATTACCGCTGCGCTGTTCTTAGCTAGTTTCCTTTTATATATTAAAATGAACATTCATGAGGAAAGCTAAATGCATTTTAAGATGCAAGCTCTTTTATGAACAGGTTCGGAAAGTCAAAGATCGAAACCCGTGCAACGAAGGGAAAATAGAGAAGATGCATTTCAACTTTATTCAAATATTAATGAAATTCAGCAAATGCAAGGTAACATTAAACACATAATAGGAATTCTACCTCTTTGCTTGATTTGTTGTGGCAATGCTGCTTTCATTTTGTATTTTCTTGCTACACTTAAAAATAAATTCAAACACAGAAATGTGCATTTACTGGATCACATTCAAAACTCCTGTGGAGCATGGACAGGACTTTTTTTAACGATCAGAATCACTTCTCATATTTATTGTTATGTATTTCATAAACCTCATAATTAGGTACTCTGTAATGCCTTGTTTGTAGGATCCTATGGAATTTAACCCACTCCAAATGTTAGGTCACAGTTTATCTTAAACAACATTGAGGAGTAAGATAACTGCTGGTGGGAACAGTCACCATAGCCAACCTTTGGGTGTAATTTGCTCATTTTTGAGACTAAGAGTATGGTGCAAGGTGGGGTGGGGGATGGGGAGGAAATACTGTTCAGGATGGGTTGCATTTTCCAAGTGATTACACCCTTCTCAGTTTATGACATATGCATGGTGGGTTAAACACCACATTTCATGGTTCCGCACCCACTCCGTGATCTTTTAGGCTCCAACATCCAAGTACCATATTTAAAAGATACCCAGACAACACTTTACCTTCAACTTCTGCTCATCATCCCCACCCACTCTGGAATTGTCAAAAAGCAGGTAAAATTTGGTGTAAGAGGGAAGTTCTTTTCCCTGTGGATGGGAACAAGAGGCCATCCTGACTGATGAAGGCAGCTTGGATAGAGGTGGCTGTGGAGGTCAGCACCAATGGACAATTCAGGAGAATCGAGCGCCTCTGCTGCAGGGCGATGAATGATTTGTTGACATCTGGCAGAGTATTTCATTCTACCCACTCAATGATTTGTTCTCCTATGGGTGTGGGATAGCATTGGAAAATTGACACTGCATAGAACTGTCACACAGAAAGTTGAGTGCCAGGCATCTTAAACAGATACCTTGGGTGTAATCCATGCCTGTAAATTCTTTGCAACTACCAGTGCACCATTACTAGCCCCACAGTGGTACAGCCTCTCACATGTCTGGCTATATTCAGACTTAAATATAAAGAGAGCTACAATGCTTAGCAGCTCACACACCATCAACTCACTACAACAAACTCAGAAAATTCTGGAGAAAAACACAGTTAACATTTCGAGTCTGTTATGATGCTTCTTCAACTCACTGATCTTTCTTCAAAAATAAGACAATGTGGACATTTGATAGCTTTTCACCAAAGACTTGCATTGGACAAGGAGACAACCACATGGAACGGCCTTTTGAATTTAGCTCCCTCTTGAGGTCAAATGCATATATCTCCCTGATTGTTTGATGGCATAAGCCAGTGGCTGCCTTGCTTGAGCTGGATATTTGGCCCAGTCAGACATTGCCCCAACACGTATTTATACAAAGAAATATCTGGGCTGAGAATGAGCCAAGTCAGTGAAGAAGGTTGCATTCACTGGAGCTTGGCGGACAAAGTCTACCCTAAGAGTCACACAGGCCTCACATACGTTGGGAAAGCTGACCGACCTAACACTTTCTGAGAATGTAATAGCAAACCTTTAATCCCTGTTGGGAATCTGAATTTTTGATTCACATCCAATTAAGTTCCCCACCCACTGTTGTAAAAGCTCCCAATGGACTGATAAATTCCACCCATTAACCTGTTAGACCTTATCCATTATAAGCAATTTCAACCCAAGTCTGGGTGGGAAGACACAGGTGCATTAGGAACATGGCAATAGGAATAGGTCATTCAACCCATTGAGCTTGTCCTGCTTTTAAGTTCAATAACGGCTGATCTTCTACCACTGTGTCCATATCGCTTAGAGCCATTATCTTCAGAAACCTAGCGGTTATGAACTATGTTATATTCAGACTTTACGTAAAATTCTATGGCATTATTGGTCTCTATTTACAAAAAAATTTTTTACATTAAGGTTATTTTATACCCCCTTCTCATTGTACAACAACAAATCCAAAATAAATTGATTGCTAGTTGGCTTCTAAACATACCGTTGCAGAAACCCATCTCACATACACTTCAGGAATTCATCCTCCACAGCACGAGTGCTGACTTGGTTAACCCAGTGTGTATGCAAATTCAAAGGTGTGAATTATTAATGTTTCGTGTCCAGTGACCCTTCAAACTATGTCTGCCTAATTGACTAATCAGTTACTTTTAGTATCACCTGAAACCTCCTACAATGAAGTTCAAACTATAAATGTTTCACAATGATAGTCTACCCTAGATTAAATCCCATTCAGATGAAGTTCTGGATCTCAATTAATGACCTGTTTAGTAACACAAAATACTGTGAATACTGGATATCTTAAATAAAAAGAGAAAATGCTGAAGAAGCTCAAAAGGTCTGGCAGCATTTGTTCAGAAAGAAACAGTTTCAAGTTCACTGAGTCTTCTTTGGAATTTTTTGGTTTGGTTAATAGCTGTGTTTTGTTGTTGTTTCACTGCCTGCTCTCTGTGGTTATTTATTTCCTGAGGTAGCAACCATTAAACACTAAAAGCCCACACAATATTGGCACATATGCCCTTGCATTCTCAAAACCACCCAAGACACTGAGCATGAATGATTTAGAACAGCGTGAGGATCTTGTTTCGAGAACTTTTTATTTTCCTTGAAGGTCTAATTCCATTTTCTGGATGATGCAAATATATCTCAATAGCTGAATACAATGACTTTTTAAAAAATCAAGTTAAACTCAAGATTTATTCAGACAAACCTATTTTTTTTAGCAGATACCGAGTCACCTGTGCTTGAAACAAGCAGTTTTCCTGAATATGCAATTGTCAATAGAAAGGCAAAAGCCAACAGTAAGTAAATGAATCAATTGTGTGGCTCTATTTGTGTCAGTATTGTTAAAAAGAAAATGTCAGATTTTATTGTATTAAGTTTTGCTTCTGGTTAGTACTTTGGGCAGGAAGTTCTTCAGACCTGCAATGACAAAGACTGAGATGTTTTTGCACAATTGAGAAATATGTGACTTTGTAAAGATATTTCAATATAATGACTTCAAACCCATAACAGACATTTTGATTCACAAATGTTGATCATCGTACGTATCATGTATTTGCAATAGGAAGGCCTGTTTAAAGTTCCATTGAATATAAATCATATGATTTCTGATTCAGACAAGCAGTACATGCCAGTATGATTGGTGAAAACATCAAGTGCTGTAGTGGTTCAGTACTAGCTGATCCGGTAAGCCCCAGGTTAATGTTCTGAGGACATGGGCTCAATTCCGTCCATAGCAAATGGTGATGTTTGAATTTGTTTTAAAAAGCTCATTTAGTAGATGGCACCATTGTTCATTGTTGTAAAACCCAACTGGTTCACCAATTTCCTTTTGGGAAAGAAATCTGCCTTCCTTACCTGGTCTTGGCTTACCTGCGACTCTAGACTCCCAGCAATGCAGTTGACTCTTAACTGTCCTCTTGGCAATTAAGGATGGGCAATAAATGTTAACCTAGCAGGTGATGCCTACATCCCATGAATGAATTTTTAAAAAACTGTAGATTTTAATTACCTGCTCAACATTGTTGCATGGTATTTTGTAAACTATGTTGGTTCTGCATGCTGTGGGAATGGAGTCTTTAATCCTTGTGAGTGTTTGTCATAGAGTGGCTGTGGGCTTGTGTGCTATCATGATTCCTAATGGTCATATGAGTGTCGTTGTCAGCTCTGGTATGTTCTTGATGTAGGGCAGTGTTGCCAGTGTCTTAGGGCATATGTGTCCTCCTGTTGTTGTCTATTTAGCAGGCACCTGTGGATGAAGTTGCAGGTGCAAATACCAGTCAACGACTGCCACAAGCATTACATTGGACAGACAGGAAGGAAACTAACCATCAGAATACACAAACATCAGCTAGCAGCAAAACAACAGGATAAACTTTCCTTGATATCAGCACACTCGGACAATGAAGGCCATCAGTTTAACTGGGACAAGGTAACCATAATAGCCCAAGCCAAACATAGACGTGCACGAAAATTCCTAGAGACATGATTCTCAACCCATAATACAATCAACAAACATACAGAATTGGACCCCAATATAAATGCATACAGAACAAAACTGAAAATGACGCTAATCACCATAAAGGATCAGACAGTATAAATTCCAAGTGGAGTAGAACAACATCGCTTCATCGGAGGCCTCACTGATGATGTTTCCTAGCGTGGTAACAAAACATCTGAATGAAAACAAACCAGCTCGGTGAGCAAGTCAACAGCCTCACCCACAACCCGAGTTACAAATCTTTGCTAAAACCTTAAAAACCTGAAAGTAATGTACATTTGCACACCACGGAATAGTTGCTTAAAGTGCTTATCTCCTATCCTATAATTTAATACAGTTTCTTAAACAACCTTCACCAACTCACCCATCTTACCATGTAGATAGCTTTGGATTTTAGACTCTAATTGCAGATGAAACTAATTCATTAGGGCACTCAATATAAAAATAAAGTATACTGTGGTGGCTTTAAATTGAATATGTGGTTTGGGTTTGTTCAGACTCTGCAAATAGAGATGAAAGTTCATAATTTCTGTCTTATTCTGTGCAGACGCAGAAAGAGAAGATATTCATTATGGATCCATCAATTTTCATAAAACTGCAACAGGTAGTAAAACTTTTTTTTAATTTTTACCTTCTATAAGGTGAGGAACATTGACACAAGGGAGTAAACCTTATTTAACTATAATGACCCATCACCACCTGCTGTTAGCATCAAGCAATCCCAGAGTAAATCTGCTCATGTTCTCACACTTCAAGATACTGAGTGTGTGTCAGAGTGTGTGTCATTGGGCTGTATCTTCTCTCTGGAGGCTTAAGTACCACACTACAGATATGAGCACAGCATGCAGCATTGAGGCAATGCGATATTGCTGTCTTTCAGTCAAGACGCTATCGCAAGGTCCTGTATGCTCCTGGATGAATTTGAAAAGTGCCATAGCACTCATTTGGTGAATATAGAGGAGTGCTTGCTGCGGTCTTGAGTAACGCTGTTTCCTTCAAGCAACATCAAAAGTAGATAACAATGGTTTGATCATTACCATATTGCTTTTTGTGGAATCCTGTTGCATATAAATTGACTGCTTTATTTCTTGCATTACAAACTGTGGAGCACCAAAAGAGTATTTCACTATCTATAAAGTGCATTGTACTAGGGCTGTAAAATCTACAAAGTAAATGTGATTTCTTCCTTTCGGTCACAAACCTTTGGTCTATTTGCTGTGCAAAGGCATTAAGTGGCCTCTGAGTGTAGTCCCCATTAATATTGAATTGAAGAAAGAATTTTGGTATCGGTCTGATCCTTACCGGAACTGCATGAAGACTGCAGAATTGGAATCAACACATAATAAAGCAGCTAAACAATCAGACACAGAATGACAATGGTACTGGGCTGTCAACCTGAAGATTATGAGCCCCAATTATCATTTAGATATTTTCACACAGACTGGTACATGGTCCTAGGTCTTCCAGCTCAAAGGGAGTGGCACTACAACTGCCTCGTAGAGCCTTTAATCCTGTTGTGCTATATTGAGAAGGCACAAAGTTTTTAGATGAATGCCAGAGAACCTGTGGCTATTGGATCTTTTATTGACCTTTGGAGAAAGACATTACTTTATTGCTTCAATCATCTGTTAACCTAAACCATGTGGGTACCCTTTGATACTCTCTGAAACATATTATTGCTCTAATATATAATTTTTTTTCTTTATTCATTCACGGGATGAAGGCATCGCTGGCTAGGCAGCATTTATTGCCCATCCATAATGGATTCTTAATTCCAGATATTTTATTGAATTCAAATTCCACCACCTGCCATTGTGGGATTTGAACCCAGGTCCCCAGAACATTATCTGGGTCTCTAGGTTAACAGGCCAGCAATAATACCACTGGGCCATCGCCTCCCCAATTGACCTGCTTAGTGCATGACCACCAAATGTGCGTCTGATGAAGGTCACCCATTTCCTGAGAACAACTTCTTAAAATAGCGTAGATTTGTGTTCGGAGAATCTAACATCCTTCCAAACAATAAAGTGTGGTAAATATTGGCATCATTGTAAATTTAGTTAATAGAATTGGTCATATCGTTTCAATTGGAAATATTTCTACCAAGAAGTTTCTGTAATAGACAACAAATTTGTCCTGCTCCTATGATGCTGCTTGGCCTGCTGTGTTCATCCAGCTCAACACCTTGTTATAACAAATTTGTTGTAGCTTTTTTTAATAAGCTATGGAATTTACAATCAGTATGGAACAAGAGCAAAAGGAAAATAGGTAACATTCTTGGATCTTATCACACCAAAGATGAAACATATGAACAGAGAAAGAAACTTCTTTCACCCACCTGAGTACAATACACTTATTTCTGGGTAGTAAAGTCATAGGTTTGAGTGATGAAACTATAAACGTATTAAATTTGCTTTTCCATGTCATAAGGGTATAGAAGATAATATAGAAATTCTTATTAAGGCTTATTTTCCTATTTGTGTTTCAGTACCTATAGACTAAGCATTAATGATGGGGTAAGAAGTGATGGCCTGTGGCAAAGGAACATGAATGGAGCGTCATGATTTTGACTAAGGAAAATGTTACTGCTGTACTTAGCAAGGATATTTTTGAGCAATTATCCAGTCAAGCTGCATGGGTGGAACTCAGAAATAAAAAGGGGATGATCACCTTGATAATACAAACTGAGCCGTAAATATGTAGAGATATCTGAACTACATGTAAGGATATTGGGTTCTAATAGGAGTGGATTTTAACTTTCCAAACATAGACTGGGACTGCCATAGAATTTAGAACTTGAATGGTGAGGAATTTGTTAAATGTGTTCAAGAAAATTATCATAGTCAACATGTAGATGTACCTACTAGAGAAGGAGCAAAACTTGACCTTCTGTTGAGAAATAGGGATGGGCAAGTGACTGAAGTGTGAGTCGGGGAGTACTTTGGGGCCAGTGATCATAATTCTTTTAGTTTTAAAACAGTATGGAAAAAGACAGGTCTGGTATAAAGTTAAAGTTCTTAATTGGAGTAAGGCAAATTTTGACACTAAAAGATAGGAACTTTCAAATGTTGATTGGGGTAGTTGGTTCACGGGTAAAGGGAGGACTGGCGTGTGGGAGGCTTTCAAAAGTAAGATAACAAGAGTTCAGAGTGTAGGGTAAGGCTGATAAGGATTGGGAACAATGGATGAATAAAGATATTGAGGCTCTGGTCAAGAATAAGAAGGAAACATATGTTAGGAGTAGACTATTGGGATCAAGTGAATCTCTTAGAGTCATAGAATTCCTACAGTATGGAAACAGGCCATTCGGCCCAACAAGTCTACACCATCCCTCCGAAGAGCATCCCACCCAGATCCATTCCCCTACCTCTGTATTTCCTATGTCTAACCCACCTAACCTAAACATCCCTGGGCACTATGGGCAATTTTATCATAGTCAATCCACCTACCCTGCACATCTTTGGACTGTGGGGAGGAAATCCATAAGGGCACAGGGAGAATGTTCAAATTTATAGCAGGGAGACCAGAATTGAATGCAGCATTCCAAAAGTGGCCTCACCAATGTCCTGTACAGCCACAACTTAACATCCCAACTCCTATACTCACTGCACTGACCAATCAAGGCAAGTGTATCAAATGCTTTCCTCACTACCCTGGCCACCTGTGACTTCCCCTTCAAGGAGTTGTAAATCTGTACTCCAAGGCCTCTTTGCTCGGCATCATTCCCTTACCATTAAGTGTATAAGTTCTGCTCTGATTTGCTTTCCCAAAATGCAACACTTCACATTTATCTAAATTAAACTCCATGTACCACTCCTGGGCCCATTGGCCCATCTGATCAAGGTCCCATTGTACTTTAAGATAACCTTCTTCACTGTCCACTACACCACTACACCACCAATTTTAGTGCCATCTGTAAACTTACTAACCATTCCTCCTATATTTACATCCAAAGCATTTATATAAATGACAAAAAGCTGTGGACCTAGCACTGATCCTTGCAGCACACTCCTGGTCACAGCCACCAGTCCAGAAAACAGACCTCTATCATTACCCTCTGTCTCAATCTTTCAAGCCAATTTTGTATCCAAATGGCTACTTCTCCCTGTATTCCATGTGATCTAATCTTGCTAACCAGTCTAGCATGCAGAACCTTGCCGAATGCCTTGCTGAAGTCTATTTTAACAATGTCCACTGCTTTGCCTTCATCAATCTTCTTTGTGACTTCTTCAAAAAACTCAATCAAGTTAGTGGGATTCAATTTTCCATGCACAAAACCACGTTGACTGTCCCTAATCAGTCCTTCCATTCCAAATATATGTTGATCCTGTCTCTCAAAATCCCCTCCAACAACTTACCCACCATTGATGTCAGGCTCACCAGTCTATAGTGCTCTGGCTTTTCTTTTAAATAATGGCACCATATGAGCCACCCTCTAGTCTTCTGATACCTCATCCGTGGCTATCGATGATGCAAATATGTCAGCATGAGGCCCAGCAATCACTTTCTCAGCTCCCCACAAAGCTCTGAGATAAATCTGATCTGGTCCAAGGGGTTTATCTACCTTTACACATTTTAAAGCGTCCAGCACCACCTCCTCAGTAATATGTACACTTTTCAAGACATCACTATTTGTTTCTCCAAGTTCTCTAGCTCCATAAAATCTGCAGGAAATGCTGATGTGAAATACTCATTTAGGAGAGAAAGAGAGAGAGAGAGACCATATAAAATTCACATGTTTTTAGACTAAACTTAAGAATAGAGAAGCAGTGCCAATAGTAATCTCAATTTTAAAAAAAATCAAGGGAGGCTACAATGGGTAGACCTGTGAGACTGACATCAGTTGTTGGAGAAGATTCTGAGAGATAGGATTTACATTCATTTGGAGAGGAAAAGACTGATTGGGGAAAGTCAGCATGGCTTTGGGTGTGGAAAATTGTGTCTCACAAACTAGATTGAGTTTTTTTTGAGGACGTAAATAAAAAGATTGAGGGCGCAACAGGAGATGTTTCCTACATGGACTATACTAACTCTTTCACAAGTTTCCACATTGTAGATTCCACATTGTAATTAATAAAGTCAGATCACGTGAGATTCAGGGAGAGCTTGTCAACTGAATAGAAAATTGACTTCACGGTAGAAGACAAAAGGTGATGGTGGACTGTTGCTTTTCGGACTGGAGACCTGTGACCAGTCATGTTCCTCAGGGTGGGTGCTGGATCCACTATTGTTTATCATTTCTATAAATTATTTGGATGAAAATTTAAGAGGCATGGTTAGTAGATATAGGGATGACATCAAAATTAGTGGTCTTATCAATAATGAAGAACTTTATCGAAGATTACAAACAATCTCGATCAATTGGGCCAATGGCCTGAGGAGTGGCAAATGGAGTTTAATTTGAATAAATGTGAGGTATTGCAATTTGGTAAAGCGAACAAGGGCAGGGCTTACACAGTTAATTGTAGGCCCCTAGGTAGTGTTGACCTAGGGGTTAAGGTGCATAGTTTTTTGAAAGTTATGTCACATGTAGGCAGGATGGTTAGGAAGGCGTTTAGCATGCTTGCCTTTATTGCTCAGACCCTTAAGTATAGGAGTTGGGATGTGAAATTGTGATTGTATAGGACGTTGTTGAGGCCTCTTTTGGAGCACTGTGTAGATCTGGTTGCCCTGTTATCGGAAGGATATTATTAAATTGGAGATAGTTCACAAAAGATTTATCAGGGTGTTGGTAGGAATGAAGGATTTTATAGAGAGAGGCTGGATAGTATGGAACTCTTTTCACTGGAGTGTAGGAGGTTAGGGGTGAGCTTCTAGAGGTTAATAAAATCATTAGGGGCATAGATATGGTGAATAACCAAGGCCTTTACTCGAGGATGGGGTCATTCAAAACTAGAGGGCATGTTTTTTAAGGTGAGAGGAAAAAGAATTAAAAGGGACCAGAGGAGAATTTTTTTCATGCAGAGGGTGGTTCAGGTGTGGAATGAACTGCCAGAGGAAGTGGCAGATGTAGGTACAGTCACAACATTTAAAAGGCATTTGAACAGGTACACGAAGAGCAAAGGTTTAGAGGGATATGGGCCAAATGCAGGAAAGTGAGACTAGTTTAGCTTGGGAAACTCGGTCAGCATGGATGAGTTGGATCGAAGGATGTGTTTCTGTGCTTATGTGACCGGACCATAAGACATAGGGGCAGAAATTAGACCATTCAGCCCATTGAGTCTACTACACCATTCAATCATGGCTGATACGTTTCTCAACCCCATTCTCCCGCTTTCTCCCCGTAACCTTTGATCCCCTTGACAATCCAGAACCTATCTGTCTGTGTCTTAAATATACTCAATGAGCTGGCCTCCACAGTGCCAATGAATTCCATAGATTCATCACTCTCTGGCTGAAGAGGTTTCTCCTTATCTCTGTTCTAAAGTGTCTTCCCTTTACTCTAATGCTGCCCCCTTGGGTCCTAGTCTTTCCTACCAATGGAAACACCTTCAAATTCTCCACTCTGTCCAGGTTTCAGTATTCTGTAAGTTTCAATTAGAACCCCCCATCCCATCCTTCTGAGCTCCATCAAGTATAGACCAGAGACCTCAAACATTACTCATACTTTAAGCCTTTCATTCCTGGGATCATTCACTTGACCCTCCTCAGGACCCAGTCTAGGGCCAGTACATCATTCCTGAGGTATGAAGCCGAAATTCTCGCAATACTGTAAATGTGGTCTAACCAGAGCTTTATAAAGCCTCAGAAGTACATCCCTGCTTCTATATTCTAGTTCCTCTCAAAATAAATGCCAACGTTGTATTTGCCTTCCTAACTACCGACTCAACCTGTAAGTTTACCTTAAGGGAATCTTGGACTAGGACCCCCAAGTCCCTTTGCACTTCAGATTTCTGAATTTTCTCCCCATTTAGAAAATATTCCATGCCTCTATTCTTCCTACCAAAATGCATGACCTCATATTTTCCCATGTTGTATTCCATGTGCCACTTCTTTGCCCACTTTCCTAACCTGTCTAAACTTTATGTCACCTCCCCGCCTCCTCAATACTGCCTGTCCCTCTACCTATCTTTGTATCATTTGTAAACATAGCCAGAATACCCTGAATTCCTTCATCTAGATCACTAATGTATAAAGTAAAAAGTTGTGGTTCCAACACTGACCCTTGTGGAACACCATTATTCAGCAGCTGCCATCCTGAGAAGGACCCTTTTATCCCCACTCTCTGCGTTCTACCAGATGGCCAATCTTCTATCCATGCTGGTATCTTGTCTCTAACGTCATGGGCCCTTATCTTACTCAGCAGCCTGCTGTGCGGCACCTTGACAAAGGCCTTCTGGAAGTCCAGGTAGATAACATCCATTGGTTCTCCTTGGCCTAACCTGTTCGTTACCTCCTCAAAGAATTCTCACAGATTTGTCAGGCATGATCTCCCTTTGATGAAACCATGCTGACTTTGTCCTAAACTACCATGCACTTTCAAGTATTCAGAAATCTCATCCTGCACAATGGACTCGAAAATCTTACCAATGACCAAGTTCAGGCTAATCAGCCTGTAATTTGCCAACTTTTGCCTTACTCGCTTCTTAAACAGAGAGGTTACATTAATGATTTTCCAGTCTTCCAGGACTGTCCCTGATTCCAGTGATTCCTGAAAGATCACCTCTAACGCCTCCACTATCTCTTCAGCTATCGCCTTCAGAACTCTGGGGTGTATTCCATTTGGTCCAGGTGATTTATCCACCTTTAAACCTTTTAGTTTCTCTAGCACCTTCTCCTTGGTGATGGCCACAGTATACTCACCTCTGCCCCTGACTGTCTTGAATTTTTCAGATATTAGTCGTGTCTTCCACTGTGAATACTGACACAAAGTACTTTTCAATTCCTCTGCCATTTCTTTGTTCCCCTTTACTACTTCTCCAGCGTTATTTTCCAGCAGCCCATTGTCCACTTTTTGCCTCTCTTTTGCCCTTTATATATCTAAAGAAATTGTTGCATTCTTCCTTTATATTACTGGCTATCTTACCCTCATAATTAATCTTCTCCTTCCTTATTTCTTTTTTCGTTGTCCTCTATTGGTCTATGTAAGCTTCCCAATCATCTGGCTTCCCACTGCCCTTCACCACATCATACACTTTCTCTTTTGCTTTTGTGCTGTCCTTGACTTCCCTTGTCAACCATGATTGCCTCATCCTCCTTTTAGTATGCTTCTTTATCCTAGGGATGAATTTTTGCTGTGTCTCCCGAATTACCCCAAGAACCTCCTGCCATTGCTGTTTCACGTTCCACTGTCTTTCCTGCTAGGCATCTCTCCCAGTCAGTTCTGGTTAGCTCCTCCCTCATGCCTCGTGTAGTTGCCTTTATTCAACTGTAATACCATTACATCTGATTCCACCTTCTCCCTCTCAAATTGCAGAGTAAATTCTATTATATTATGATAACTGTCTGCTAAAGATTCCTTCACCTTAAGCACCCTTATCAGGTCTGCCTCCTCCGCAACACGAAATCCAGAACTGCCTGTTCCCTAGTATACTCCATCGCAAGCTGCTCCAAAAAACCATCTCATGGACATTCCACAAATTCTTTTTCTTGCGATCCACTACCAACCTGATTTTCCCAGTCCATCTGCACATTGAAATCTCCCATGATCACTGTAACCTTGCCTTTCTTACACACCTTTTTTATCTCCTAGTGTATCTTGTGCCCCACATCCTGATGACTGTTTGGAGGCCTGTGCATAACTCCCATTATGGATTTTTTACCTTTGAAGTTTCTCAACTCTACCCATGCAAATTCTATATAATCTAAACCTATTTTGTTTCTTATTATTGATTTAATTTCATTTCTTACTAATAAGGCAAACCCCTTCTCCCCTGCCTGTCTTTTTGAAAGGACGTACATCCTTGGATATTTAGCTCCCAGTCCTAATCCCCTTGCAGCCACATTTCCATGATGCCCACCACATCATACCTGTCAATTTCAATCTGCGCCACAAGCTCATTTTCCTTATTTCTTATAGTGCGTGCATTCAAATACCGCACCTTCAATCCTGTATTGACTGGCATTCTTATCTTTGTTATTCATTTATCCAGGGTGCTTCAGTTTGATGCCTAACCCTTTCCAAACAATCTATTCTATTTTGTGTGCTTGAGACTTTAATAATCTTTCCTGAGTTCACCTTTCCTTTCATTTTTTAAAAATAATCTTCCATGCAGTTGAATGCACCCCCACAGATATTAACCTGCTGCTTTGTTTACCATTCGCCATTATGCTCTTTGGAGTTTTACCCATCCCTTCACCCCCACTTTCCTTTTAAAATCCTTTTGACCAGCCTATTTACCCATTTCACTAGAACATTGGTCCCAGCTTGGTTTAGGCGGAGACTGTCCCAGCTGTACAGATCCCTCCTGTTCCAATACCGATGCCAGTGCCCCATGAAAAGGAACCCCTCTTTCCCGCACCACTCTTTTAGCTACGTGTTTACTTCCCTTATTCTCGCATCCCTATGCCAATTTGCAAGTTGCTCGGGCAGTAATCCGGAGATTATAACCCTTGAGGACTTGTTCTCCAATTTAGTTCCTTGTTCCTGATAATCACTAAACAGGTCCTCTTTCCCGTCTTGCCTATGTTGTTTGTCCCAATGTGGATCACAGCAACTGGATCCTCCCCCTCCCACTCCAATATCCTTTCAAGCGGTCAGACATGTCCCTCATCTTGGCACCGGGCAGGCAACATACCATGCAGATTCCCTATCCTGCTTATAAAAGAAGCCATCTATTTCTCTAATTATAGAATCCCCTAGAACTACTACCTGTCTTTTCAGTCCTCCCTCTTGAATGGCCTCCAGTGCCATGGTGCCGTGGTCAGCTGCCTCCTTATAGCCTTGTTTCTCATCCACACAGGTCATAAGTACCTTGTACCTGTTGGATGAGATCAAGATCTGCGGGTCCTCCTTTCCTCAATGCAGGATCTGTCTACCTGCCTCACTTGCAGTCACACCCTGCTGTCTCTGACCACTGACTGAATTTGTGGTACTTAATCTACCAGGTGTGACCGCCTCATGAAATAGAGCATCCAGGTAAGTCTCCCCCTCCCAGATGTGCTGCTGTCTGAAGCTTGGACTCCAGCTCAACAATTCTGAGCCAACTCTATGATTCTATGACTCTATACCAAACACCCTTTTATATTGCCCTTATGTTTCAATGGAAATATGACTGCTTCACTTTCTTCCAACGACTCATCCAAAAAGCACCCAATTTCACCAACAGCTGAGTGAACCAGCAAAGGATCATGCAATCTTCTAACCATGATGAAAGGAACTCATTTATTTTTTGATATCCCTGTGGTGCATTTTCCAAATGTCATTCTTGATATGGATATCAGTCATACAGATCAAACCCTTGAGCTCACTGTCACTCAATGTCATGTTGATCTATTGGCCATAAGAGTAAAATGCAATACGACAAACAGATTTGAATTTTATGTTGTCACTTTTTTTCATTCCAATCTACCAATGCTATTCTTGTGGTGTTCTTAATTATTCCAGGAAGCAAACAGGGAACAGAGAGAACACAGAGAAACAAACAACCTTCAGTAGTTGTAAGTACAATGATTCCCACGAGTCAAAATATATCCCAAAATATTAATACCTATCATTTGTAACATTATTGTTTGATGTAAAGAGATTCAATGAGTAATCTATTATTATTAGCAGTCAATTTCTGTCTCTTTCAGGAACTGGGTGCTTCAAACGAAAATGATTCCTCTATTTACGCACAAATAGCGCAAGTGCGAGATCAATAATCTTCAGCTTGGACTTAGATTTGTAAAATAGAACATTTCTTTCTGGGAACTGATTTTATTACTTCTGAGTAGAATGAAGCTTTCTTTCTGTGTACCTACTCTAATTTTACACAATCATCATATCACAGATTTTAATCATTAAAATTGCTTGCAATAGAAATCATTCATTATTATCTATTTTCACCTCAATGTTAACAGCTCAAGCACATGACAGGCAGGGAAAGCTTTGTTACAAAAAGAAATAAAAAATAATTTAAAGAAATATGTTTTTCTGCCCACTCAATTAGTGCCTCAGAATTTTAAGAACAAATAATAGTGATTCAACTGTTCAATTTGTCTTTTCGGCTTTGTCCATTTGGGTCACTGTTGAATATTCATCCTTTAATAGCCACCAACATTAAAAACATCATTCACTTGCTGTTGGGTTGGAATGTGATTTCCACAAATCAAAATCTTGAATGCTTTTGACATGCATATATTTTGGCACAAGACGAATTTTCTCAGCTATATATGCTGATGAATTTATCGTTATTTAAATGCTTTCCATTGGATTCATCCCATATTGATGATTGAATGAGCATCAAAGCTTTCGGCCATAAGTAATGGTTCTGAGACATTGCACTGTTTCCTCATGCTGCACTGGAGTTAGCGTAACTCTACCATTGGACAATTCTCCAAGTTCACATGAGTTCATAACATAATGGTGGATGATCAACTTCAGCAGAACAATAGGAAGTAACACTGATTTATCCATCCCTTATTGTCCCAATTCCCACAGAAATATCACAGGTGGAAATGGGAGAATCAGGGAATGGTCTGAAAATCTTTGCTAACTTCATGAACAGCATTTAATTTCCAGTTAATAGTTGAAAGGAGAATATAACTGGACTTCACATATTGAGATATTTACTGTGCCAGCTCCATAAAACATGAAAGAGATCGTTAATTATTGTAAGAAAAATAATACTTTATTCTCTACTTTAAATTGACCTAAACTGGACTAAAATGGCCGTTACGAATCATATGATTTTTAAGTTGGCGGCAGCTTTAGAAACTTCCAACAGTATTACTGCAATATAAATACACAGCTAAAGAAGCATCCTTATGGAATTTCTCATATTTCACTGTATGAATATTACAGTCAACAAACACAAAGCAACAGTAAAGAAAATGTCTCCCAGCAAGAATTGATAACAAAGAGAGATATCAAAGCTCCTAATGTCTGCAAAGGTATGTCATTTGTCCCACTTCATTTCCCAGGTGAGGTCCAATGCTGTTTGTTTCATTTTACATTTAGGGCAGATTCAACAGGTCTGTGTGTATTCTGCAGTGGAGCTAGAACACCAGAGTACTCCACTTAATGGGATAATGCTCCTTTCATTAAAAGCAGCAGATTCCCAGATTTACTGTTTCAGATCCTCCAGTAACTTTTAACAGAACAGTTCCCAAAATGGATACCTTTTGTGCCTCATCATGAAATGTTTTGGATTTTGATAGCACCCATTGTACAAAAAGTTTGAGCAAGTTATTGATGTTTCAAAGAGGATGATCTTATTGAAATATGTTGGATTCTGAGGAGACTTGACAGAGTGGATGCCACGAGGATGTTTCTCCATATTGGGGGAGCTAGAACTGGGGTGCACAGTTTAAAACTAAATGTACCCCGTTTAAGTTAGAAACAAGTACATTTTTCTTTCAAAATGTTGTTAATCTTTATTGCAGAGAGTAGCCGAGGGTAACTCATTGAATATATTAGGCTGAGCCAGTCAGATGTTTCATCTCCCAAGGCAGTTGGCAGTCATGGACCACAGGTGTGAAAATGGAGTTAAGGCCACAATCAGATCAGCCATGATTGGACTGAAGGCTTCAAGGGCCAAATGGCTTCCTGCTCCTATTTCTCGTGTTCCCCATTCTTTCCTCTTTTGAACCAATGCTTTTATCTCAACTTGAACACATATGACTAGTTACTAAAGATTTCAAGTGTTATGCGAATCGTATGGGAAAATGGAATTTAGGTGGATGACAACAGGATCTGGTAGAGTGACAGAGCAGAATCAATGCCAAACAGCTTACTTCAGCTCCTTTTTCCTAACTTCACTGATGGTTAATTCCTGAGCTATGAAGAATGAGCATATTTACTCAAAATGTACTTCCACAAGAGACAATGTCAATTCCTTTATACACTTACAGCTGAGAATTTCAGTTTGTTGCACTTGTATCGGTTGTTGCCAGGATCTTTGCTGCTCATTTTCAAGACTTTGTCTTTTTGTACAAAATACAATATCTTTTTGCAAACATGATTTTTAAAGGATTGAACCAAGTGACTTGGAATAGCACAATGTGATTTATTCTCTATTTTTGAATCAGAAATAGTAGGAACTGCAGATGCTGGAGAATCCGAGACAACAAGGTGCAGGGCTGGATGAACACAGCAGGCCAAGCAACATCATAGGAGCAGAAAGGCTTATGTTGCGGGCCTAGACCCTTCATCAGAAAAGGGGGAGGGGAAGGGGGTTCTGAAATAAATAGGGAGACAGTGGGAGGCGGATAGAAGATGGATAGAGGAGAGGATAGGTGGAGAGGAAACAAACAGGTCGAAGAGGCGGGGATGAGGCCAGTAAAGGTGAGTGTAGGTGGGGAGTTAGGGAGGGGATAGGTCAGTCCAGGGAGGACGGACAGGTCAAGGGGGTGGGATGAGGTTAGTCGGTAGGAGATGGGGGTGCGGCTTGAGGTGGGAGGAGGGGATAGGTGGGAGGAAGAACAGGTTAGGGAGGCGGGGACGAGCTGGACTGGTTTTGGGATGCGGTAGGGGGAGGGGCGATTTTGAAGCTTGTGAAATCCACATTGATACCATTGGGCTGCAGGGTTCTCTATTTTGATTTGTTTCTCCCTATAAAGTGGACAAGGACATCCGCTACTTTTTTCCATGATTTCATCTTATATTGCATAAAACTCCAAGAAAGGGATTTCCCATTAGACAGCAGCTGCCCACTGCCTTTTTGCTTGTTATAAGCTGACCTTTTGTGGCTTCATCATTGTAAAGGTTTTCTTCTATACTTCTGTCACCCCCAGCTCTAGACTTGGTTAATCTAAAACGCTCCTGGCTGGCTCATCTCAAGCAGTAAATTTGAGGACATTTAAATTTCTTCTGTTTACAAACTAGCATGCAGTAACTTCTCTTCACCCATCTTCAGTGACCTCCATTGGCTCCCAGTTATGAAACACCTTTGTTTTAAAATTCTTGTTGAGCCTTTGAAATATGAAGTTTGCAAATGCTTCATGGAGTGATATAAAGACAAAGAAACAAAATTTGCTACCAAGCCACAAAAGAAGATATTAGGGCGGAAAACAAAAGGTTGATCAAAGAAATTGGCTTAAAGAATGTTTCAAATTGAGAAATAAGTGGCATGATTTAAGAAGGGAATTCCATATTAGCAACTGAAGACCTGGCCACAAAAGATCTGCTGGCTATTCAATTCTATGACAAAGTAACGATGTTGATTCTAACAGGCCAGAGGCTAGCTTATAAAGACAGTCATTGTACCACCTTAGATACACTGGGTTGAGAATGGGAAATGAGTTATACTAAAAGTGACAATATAAAACTGTGAAGTGTAACTGCTGTACTTTAAGAACTCAATTAGAATTGATGCTTAATTGAGTGAAAATATCTCTTAGACTACTGGGAACTGGAAGACTCACAAAATGAAATGTATGAGCAGAAACTCTATATCATTCAAGGATCTCCCTGAAAGCTATTAATTTCAAATTGTGTTCTTAAAACACAGCAGTTACACTTTACAGTTTTACCTCATCACTCTCAACGTGACACGTTTCTCATTCTCAACCCAGTGTGCGTGAGGTGGTACAATATCTGTCTTTATAAGCTAGCCTCTGACCTATTGGAATCAGCACCATTTCTTGGGAAAATTGAGATTTGTAGCATTCATTTTTTTGGACAGCGCAAAGCCTCTTAAATTATGCAAATGGAATTCACAGCACACTTCTGACACAAGGTTTACCAAATGCCGCATTAATAAAAATATTAGTGCAGTCATGTCTGCTGGCCCCAAATGTAAAAGACAGATGATTCGAACTTGATACCAGCACTGTCATGTTCTCTTACCTCCCATAGTTGAACATGCATTCAGTGGTGTGAAGGATGCCATCCCCAATCCTCATACCTTACCAACACCACAACAGTAATCAGTCATATCCTGACTTGTGCTGTATGCAGAGATCAATGTCTTACATCCACATGCAACATTATTTATTTTTTCTGTTGTTTCAATTCTATGTCTGTCTGATGCTATGCTACACATGTTGTGGGGGTTGGTTCGCTCAGTCGATTAGGTGGGTACAATGTGGTGTGGAATAGCACGAACAGCATAGCTTTAATCGCTGTCCCAGCTGTAATAGTTCATGGAACACTGGCCACTTGCCTTGCACCGTGTTTGAAATAGAATGGTGCCCTTCAAGCCAAATAATCACTTGTTTCTCTTTGTTAGATCGAGAGATGCCTAGGATACCTTATGTACAGTGACTGATTACCTGATTAATTACAGGCATATATGTTAATTGTTTCAATAATCTACAAGGTTTGGACATGTCTGGTGCTTAAACATTTGATGTTTTAATGGCTTTTTACACGAACCAATTATTTTCAAATGTAGGTGATTTTTTTATAGCTTCCTCTTGGAATTGTCTGTGTCCTGCAAAATAAAGACAGATTGCATTGAGTAGGACAAGGTGCTTGAAGAGGGAGGAGAGGCAAAGTGTGCTTACTAGTAGGCAATACCCATAGAGGGTCTTTTAGGAACAGATCTTCTGAAGAATAAATTGATTATTCACTGTGATGTTGTACTCATCTACATTTCTTGACAATGAACACAGGCTTTCTGGTAGATTTTCTAATGTACCAAGCAATTGGCTGTGCATACACATTAGTCGTCTTCTGAAACCTGGTCCAGCAAAGACCATATCCAAATCAAATGCAGCAGAACTAGTGCAAGTCCTTACCATTTGACAACTTGAGCCTCTGTTCCCCTTTCCATCTGTCCAGGCTGCAGCTTGTGCTCAATATTCTATCATGTGGAGATTCTGCATCAAAACCGGGAATTCCTGACTTAACAGCCAACTGCCCTGAGGAAATTGATGTCTTTGAATAGACATTTCTGATCTAAACTTAATTGTAGTATCTGATTAATAAACTGTTCATCGAACATAATTTAAAGGGCAGCATGGTGGCTCAGTGGTTAACGCTG